AAAACATGGTGCAAGGTGGGTCATAAAGATAATTGAAGACCGATGGTATAAAACATTATACCACGATTTGCATGCAGCAAGTATAAATTATGTCATAATTTGCAATTCATTTCTTTAGTTGCATACGTATTATTTCTCTTATTAGAGTATATGTTTCTTTGAATAGCATATTATTTGAATCCTCGATACCAATACAAACCCGTTGTTGGAGATAATGGTACCCTTATACGTGCTGTACATAATGTATACTCTAAATTAGACCCTGCATCACCAGCAGTTGGCCAATTTGGAAATGAGGTACACAATTACTTAAATTATAATAATTACTTTGTTGGATTAAACTAACACGATTTATTGAATTCAGCTAACTTGGTTTAAAGATGCAAGAAGAACTTTTGGAGAACCAACATCAGTTGCTGCTCGAACAAAAATGTCTCCTAGTGAGTGTAAACATATTTCACGATAAGTTTATAATAGAATTTGTTGGAGTTATTAGGCTTATCAACATTGTTTTTCATTGTAGCTGAATGATGGATCATGTATGGGATCGATGCAATAACTGTGAGAAAGTTAGCAATCAAAGTATTATCACAAACAGCTTCCTCATATGCTTGTGAAAGAAATTGGAGCACATTTGCACTCATACACACAAAGCAAAGAAATAGGTTGGCTCATAGTAGGTTGGAAAAATTAGTTTATTGCTACTATAACATGAAGCTTCAAATTCGAGATAAGGAAGCAGAAATAGATCATGTCGACCGTGGTGACCCACTAGATGTGCTTGATATTGTTGCTGAAGATGATGATACAGAGGGTAACCAACTTTATCAATGGATTAGACCTCTTCATTTAGATGATGATGAAGGCAACCCAGCTCCCAGAGTTGCTGAAGAAGCACGTAATGAAGGGATAAATGTAGAAAGAGTATTAGCGGAGGAGGTGGGATCGAGCAGCGCTGACTCTTTGGAAGAACTTTTACGCCCAAGACCAAGAAACACTGGAATTCCACCTTCTTCCAATCCTACACAACCACAACATCGTGTTGATACTAATGATAGCTCTAGTACAAGATCAGAAGGAGACTCACCTACCACCGGAGGTGGGAATGATGAAGGATATAGTGGAGCTGGAGGTAGTGGTGGTGGATATGGAAACTATGTTGGACTACCTCCCGAATTTATGAGCTCCTTCACTGGTGAGGCAAACTTCACGCATGCAACACAAGATGAGGACCATGGCAGTAGGCGGGCAGGACCAGGAATTGGTGCCATAGGGAAGGACTATACTCGTAGAGAAAGAGGCAAGGGGATTTTGTCAAGTCAAGAAGATGACTCGTTATCTATAACTTCGGACTCTGTTGGAGTGGGAAGTAGTAACTCATAACCAACCATTTCCCTACCCTTTATATCCCATTCCTGTTGGGATGGAATCGAGCGACTCATGGAAACAATTCGAGACTTAATCTTCAAATGATTTTGCTTATGGACAAGGTCAACCAATCTCGGATCCATATAGGTGGCATGTTAACAATTATATGCAAAACTATTTTGGGGATTTATCATTTGATAACTACTCTTCACAATACACTCACTCTACACATAGAGATGATGAAGATAGTGAAAAATTTGAACCTCATAGGAACTCTATGTGGTACTAAGTCATTCATGTATCTTACCATGCAATGTATAAAGTGTAAAATATTGTACTAATTCATTATATATAAATGATTATGGTGTGTTTAAACTTCTTTCATTAATTACTACATATTTTCTACACTCACAATGTTTGCCAGCTCGCTATATAATCAACTTGATAATGTTAAATCCATCATGCAATGCATTTCCTTCTAATTTTTTGTGATAAACTAATAGATAATTGACTAAATAAACATCCTGCAAAGTTTCAATAAAAATTTCCAAGTTTTTCTTACAATTTCCGTGGTTTCCACATTATTTTTATCGATATCGATATTATCCCGATATTTCCATCGATATTTCCTTGTTTTCGGACTACCGATATTTCCGATATCATCGATATTTAATACCTTGCATGCAACTCAGATCCCGTCTTCCCCAATGAGTGTGGATTTAAGGAGTGGGGTGTGTAAAAGAGGGAAGATGATGCGTGCGAGGGTAGGTGCACTGGGTTTTTTTTTTACTCTTCTTTCTGGGTTGCAGGTTGGACTCAGGTTAGGGGGGAAGAAGATGGGAAAATAGGTGCGCAGAAGAGGCGGAGATGGGTGCAGGTGGAGGATGGGTGCAGACGACGGATGGAAGATGATTTTGTTTTGGGGAGGGGGTTGGTGAGATCTGGACTTCGGCTGGGGGGATATGGGATGGGGGTTTCCTGGGGAGGGGGGTTGATGGGATCTAGGGGGAGGGTGTGTCGATGGGAACTGGGTTTTTTGGTTTTTTTTTTTTTTTTTTTGTTCAAGGTTCATGTATGGGGGTGGGGTGATGGGATATGGATTTTCTCTTTTTTTTTTAATTTATTTTTATGCCACATGGCACACATTTGGCAGCCACGTCAGCACTTAACGGATCAATAGATGGAAAATGAAACGGAAATATTATTTTGAAATAAAATAATACGTGAGGTATGAAAGTGAAATGTTTTAGAGATGTTGTATAGGGTTGTAATAGACCTCAAACCTGATGGGCTACTATGTAATTTACCCAAAAATAATTTAGGGACTTAATTTTCACTGAGATAATAGTTCAGAGACTAAATTGGCACTATACCCTTTTGGGTTTTGGTCGATGTAGCCGATTATCCTAAATATTTATAATTAGCCAATTTTTACCTTAGACTTTAATTTTAGCTAAATACTTCTCTGAACTTTATAAGTAGCCAATTTCCACGCTAGATTTTACAAAAATTTATCCAAATTTTCATTCATTTTGGTCACGCGAACTAGACATGACAAATGTATGGGCAAAAAATATTTTTTTTTTTTTTAAATCTAACTTTGGGAGAAAAATTGGCTATTCATAAAATTATTATGGGGTAATCGATTAAAATTAAAATTCAGAGAAAAATTAGCTACTTATAAAAGTTAAGAAATAATCAGTTAAAATTAAAATTCATGAAAAAAAATTATTAGCTCCATACAAGTTCATATGGCAAACCAACAAATAACTTTGGGGGGCGTTTGTTTGCCCTCACTAAACCTCGTTGGATTGGACTGGCTTAACTGGGATTGCTAAGCCGTGTTTGGTGTGAAGAAGGACTAGTGTTAATGAGACTAAGTCGGATTCGTCTCGACTAAGTCCTTCGCTAGGTAGTCTTGGTGAGTCCCCCCCGAAATGTATGAGATTGTTAGTCTCGTCTCCAAATTTACTTCCTTTTTACACTACATCTTCTGTACGTTGCTTCGTCTTCGTTTACCCACCCCCAAATCAACTTCTCCCACTACCAAAATCTCAAAATCGAACCACCAAAATTCAAAAAAAAAAAAAAAAGCAAAACAATAACAACAATGGGAGAAGCTGATTAGCAAACATTCTTCCTTTTTCCCAGAAAATTCTGAAATGGCTATCTCCTTCTGGAATTGCAGATGGAGAAGCCCACGCATGTATCAGAGGGAGGAGAGAGATTCGAAACTTTTTGGGAGAAAAAGGGTGAGGAAGGTGGAGATGCCTAACGGCAGGAAGAGGGCGAAAGGGATGAGCTTGTCTTGAAAGATCTACCATGACCTTGTTTTGAAAGACTGCGTTTTGCAAGAAATACAAGGAGGAAAGGAGAGAATGGATGGAGTCGGAGATAATAGATGGAGTCAAAGGGAAGAGATGGGAGAAGGTTCCAGAGAGAGGTAGAGTGGGAAAAAAAGAAAGAAAAGGGTTAAATTAATATTATTAGATAAAATAATAAAATATTATTAGATAAGTGTTAAATAATATAATATTATAGTTTGTTTATATTCTGCTTTTTAGTCCGACACTACACCAAACGCTTCACTAAGCTAGTCCATCTTAGTATAGTCTAAGCCATTCCAGCTTAGTCCCTGAAACTAGTCCAGTCCGAGACAGTCCGGTGCAACAAACGCACCCTTGGGATTTTCAACGCCTCATTTCTCTTTAGAGCCCACTCTAAAACCCAACTGGAAAATAACCCAAGTTACGAACATGTGACTTTGAACCCAATTGGAAAATAACCCAAGTTACGGAAAATAACCCAAGTTACAAACACGTGACTCTGAACCTAACCGGAAAATAACCCAAGTTACGAACACGTGAGCCATCAACACAAAAAAGGTAGGTTTTTTTAGCCAAAATGGTCTCTAAGATTTTCATAACACATAACTTTGGTCCCTGAGATTGTCCACCATCCATTATTTTGATCATTCCATTAAAAAAACTCCGTTAAGTCTTAGGGACCAAAGTTATGTGTTATGCAGTCTTAGGGACCAAAGTTATGTGTTATGCAAATCTTACACTATGTTTGGATGAGGGAAATAAACTTGGAATATTGGTAAAAGTCTGAATTTATAAATTAACACGCACAAATTCCCTTGTTTGGATTCATAAACATAGAAATTTAGAATTTTCACGTGGAAAAAAAACTTGGAATTTGGGACCTCCAATTCCCAAGTTCAAATTCCATGTAAATAGGTGTCATTTCCCAATTTCTATGATTTAGAGTTTAAAAATAACAAATTCAGTATTCAATTCCATTATTTTTTTAGATTAACCAAACAAGAAAATTTACAAATTCTTGAAAATAAAATCTTGTCGTTTCAATTTCATTCATTTTAAAATTCCTTAATAATCTTAAATTTCTTCGTCTAAACATAGTGTTAGGGATCAAAATTATGTGTGTTTGCAAATCTCAGGACCAAGATTATGTGTTATACCCTCAACTTAACAAAGTTTTTTAACAGAATGATCAAAATAATAGATGATGGACAATTTCGGGACAATTTCTATTGATTTTAAATATCAGGAATCAAAATGATGTGTTTTGCAAATCAATTTTGACTAAAAAGCCAAAAAGATAAATATAATGGAGAGTGAAAAGATGGCCTCCGCTAAGTTGTGGTCGAGTTGGGCACAGTGACAGCCAGCCGAGAAGGAAGAATACTGGGAGAATTAGGGTTTCACAGAAAGAGCCGCAGACTCTTCTCACCACCTGATCAATCAATCGCGCGTCTTCCATTGCTAAGGTAAGTCCCCCAATTTTCTAGATCGATTTTATCGAAACCCTAATTTTGTTTCTGGATTTTCTCTTCCTAACCCAAAAGAAAATATTGACGGTATCTGCAAAATCCCAACAACTGTTTCAGCTCAATTTTTGTTTTTAATTTACTAATTTTTGTTTTTTTTTGTCTGATGATGGATGTTGGCGTGTCTTGATATGCAGGATTAATTCTTTGTTTCGCCGAAAAATCGGTAATTTGATACAAGAATCGCCAAATTAGATGGAGGACTGGGGTAATACTGCTTGCTTTAATTCCATCTTAAGTATTCCTGTAAAATTTTGTGAGATGTGTTTGTGGGGGGTTTTTTTTTTGTGGGTAATTTTGGTTTGTCTTGTTATATTCTCTTAGTAATTATTATGTTTAGTATTTACCACCTAAGCTCTCTTGCCTAAACCTTTGAATAACTATTCATTTGCTATAATTAGTATAAGTGGAGTTATTTTGTTTACAAAGCTGGTTTTTTTCTCTGCTTCAGAAGAGGAGAAAGTTCCAGCTCTCCTTGCTAAGGACAAACCGATACATAAATGGGATGACGAAGATGTGGATGAAAATGATATTACGGAGTCATGGGAGGATTTAGATGAACCTGCTCCTCTGGTAAGATCAATAACGCAGTTGTCATCTTATTATTTTGTTGAGTTTCTGAAAGCAATTTTTTTCCTGCTCATCATTCAGAATCCCTGTCATAGGTTGATGGATGATTGTTCTTGTTTGAGTACTAGCTAATTGGCTGGGGAATGTTTCATGTATATTTATCTTTAAAATGACCATGAACAACATTGTTTTTTCTTTTGATGTGAAAATCCAATTTTGTATCTTGCGGCAATATATGCATATAAATGGTGAAAGACACCAAGGAGACGACTTTTTAATATTATATGGGATGTCTTTGATTGGTCACACCATATATTGTCACTTTGTACTGCATTTGTCTATGTAGAATAGTAGTCATATTACAAATAGTTCATTGAGCGCTAGTTCTCTTCCTTGCCCTTAATTGAAAAAATAAAATAGGGACTAGGTTTGAGAAAAAGGGTTCCACATTATTGTCAAGTTTAACCTCCTTTTTGCAACAACTTTGATTGATTTCAATGATTGGATTGATTTCGGCTTTACTGTTGAAAGTGAGATTTACTAGTTTAGGCCATATCAAATGGTTTGTTATGACAATATTTTGCTAACTGGTAGTCATTTAGATGAATAGGTTCTGGATCATCATGTTATATGGTCGGGTTTAAATCTCAGTATTCCAATGAGTTATATACAAATGGTAAAAGAAAGTTGTGACTGGTTAAGAGGATACAAAGGATTTTTGTTTGTGTGTGTCGCCTTTGTGGTGGGAGCCCTAAAGCCAAACTGGTAAGTTCAGCCTACAGTGCTACCCCTATGGTCGCCAAGCAAACCTCTGCAGGATAGTTTGTTCAAGTTGGATGAAGCAAAATACAACCGTTGTAACAGAACCAAATGAATCGGGATCCAATAGAATTGGTTTTGTTCGATTTCCATCGGGTTGCCGCGGTTGTTGCTGTGTGTGTATTTTCAATTTGTCCACAAACCACAGCAAGTAGTTTTGCAGTCATTAACCTTGGAGGCTTTGTCCACAAACCGCATGCACCATATTGATGGCTGTTTTGTTTTCACACTTGTTCTACTGAAAAAATCTAGTATTTATTTTATGATAATGATTAATCTTGATAATCTGTTATTTTTATGGTGGCCAGGAACCTGCAGCAAAGCCTGTTGCTGAGAAGGCACCTAAGAAACCTGCAACAAAACCTGCTGCAAAAGCTACAGAAAAGAAAGGAAAAACCGTTGAAGTAGAAAAGGAAGAGCCACTGGATCCTGTGGCTGAGAAACTTCGCCAACAAAGGTGAGAGTTAACATTTAGGCCTCATTTGGTATTTTGTACTGACAAATTTTTGTCGGATAGTAGTAATCTACGTCTTATAGAACTGACTATTATAAAGAATTTAGTCAGGCATTTGGTGCTGCCCCCGATTAAGAAGCCTAACTAAATTTTATGTTAATTTAAATAAGGATCACAACATTTTATAAGTCAAAATGAATCATCAATAGAAACATCCAGTTTGAAAGCCAACCTCAACTTCATAGTTTTTAAAATGCTTTGGTGACTTCATCCAAGAGCCCAATTCAATTTAACCAACCAAACAATAAGATAAGTACCTTAGTCAATTAGGTTGTGGGAATTTTCATCTTCGCTATGTTGTTCATTGTGTCAGTTAACTGAAACCCTTGTTCTATTTTTTTTTTTTTTTTTAGGTACTATTATTCCCAAAATTGTACTTATTGGGATCCTTTGGTGGAAGTAGTGGCTATGTAATCTCTTCAGTACTTCGAGTTTTGCATACTGAAATTTGGAAGTAAAATTAAATAACCATGGCTTGATAAAAATTTCTCAAACAGATAGTTTATTCATCTTTGGTTTATAATGCGAATAGTTAGTGTTCTGTTGTAACCATATTCTGAATGATGCTTCTCAGCCCAATCAGCTCAACTTTAGGTTTTTTTAATTATATTGTTTATTGTGCAACTGTGGTTTAAATGTGGCGATTTATCATGCATTCTGATGTAATTAAGCCCCGCAATTCTTTCTTTGGTTTTTGTTTTGAATTCTTATAGAAACTTGCTATAATTAGTGCCTATGAGAGAAACCATTGTTTTGGGTACTTATGATTTTTGGATCTATTATGTTGATTCAATTTGTCTTTAAAATGTTGTTGATCATTGTGTCTACCATGCACTGTATTATCTGTTAATGGTGCACCTGGGCTGCACTTTTATTATGTACTCAATGAAGTTTCAGAATTGTGATGTGTGGGGACTGGCCTTTATTCGATTTTTTTTAATTTAATTTAATTTATATTTTTATATTTATATTTTTATGTCTATGCCTATCCTTTGGATGATAGACCCAGTTGATTCAGAGTTAATCATTCTCCTTGAGAACATGGTTTGGTACATTTGACTAACAATTACATGTTGAATGCGTTAGCTTTTGGTCACTAGTGGTTCTTACTAAAGCTTTTCTCTACTCCACAGGCTGGTGGAAGAAGCAGATTATAAGTCCACTAAAGAATTGTTTTCCAGTGGAGGCAATGAAAAAAACATTGACAATTTCATTCCGAAATCCGAAAGTGACTTCCTGGAATATGCAGAACTTATTTCACATAAACTTCGTCCATTTGAGGTGTGTTAATTTTTCCTACCTGTTTAACAAACGTTCAAGAATTTCAGGTACATAATTTTTTAAAATTTATTTGCAGAAAAGTTTCCATTATATTGGTCTACTCAAGGCAGTAATGAGACTGTCAATGACTTCGTTGAAAGGAGCAGATGCAAAGGAAGTTGCATCTTCCATTACAGCAATTGCAAATGAGAAGATAAAAGCAGAGAAGGAAGCAAATGCTGGCAAAAAGAAGACAGGTGCGTGTCTTTGCTTATTTCATTCTTTGCTAAGAGTAGAATGTCTCATGCTTCATTTTAGTTTTATTTATGATTTTTCATCCACTTGAAAACCAAATTAATGTCCTATATGTGAAGAAAAGAAAAGGAATAAGGAATTATATTGGGTTTGTGTTGAGAAGCATCAGCCGGAGGCTCTTAGTATTGTGGAACCGAGAAACTAACGTGTTTAAAAAATGCCTTTGCGCGTTTGATTCAGAAAACTTGTTTAGGGTATTGGTCAAAGCAACCCCTGTGCTTTCTGGTTTAGGTGTAGGTGTCACCAATAAGTGAAAGCAATGTGTTAAAAATGCCTTGCAAGTTTGATTCAGAAAACTTGTTTAGGGTATTGGTCAATGCAGCCCCTGTGCTTTCCGTTTCAGGTGTAGGTGTCACCACCAAGTGAAACTAACATGTTAAAAAATGCCTTGCACGTTTGGTTCAGAAGACTTGTTTAGGTTACTGGTCAAAGCAGGCCCTGTGCTTTCCAGTTTAGGTTTAGGTGCCGAAATAGCTATGGTTTATGTAATCAGAGTTGAAGGTATGACAATGCAATCCACTTTGGATCTTTGAGTCTCATACCAATCAATTCCTTTCTTTTCCCATTCTATCCTTTAAAAAATATGTTCAACTGAAAAAAAAATAAAGAAGAAATAGAGGAATTTTGTTAGTGCTATTTTCGATACTTATGTAGAGCAACATAGTTATGGCCTTTATCTTTACCAAGTGGTATTCGTTTTAAGTCTGAAAAGTATCCTGCATCAGAGAGTTAAGGAACCTTGCGAGGGCTTATAAGTTGGGCTACTCCCCCTGTTGCCAATTGGTTTTAGGGTGGAACCCCAACTTCCTTTATGTTATTCAGAGCAGGTTTGTCCGCTTGTGAAGCCCAACATACACGTGCCGCACATCACCCAATCAAATTGTCCACGGGTTTGGAACAAAAAATTTCCACAGCTGTTAAAAGCAATCTGAAAACCTAATGTTAAAAATTGTCTGCGTTAAAAATTGACCACTTCACCCATTTTGAGAACTTGTAGTCGAGGGTTGCCTCTGTGTTAGGCTTAACTTCCTTCATAGAGCCTCAATACTTGTTCACTACTCCCAGTTAGAATTATTTTAGTGTGGAACCATGATCTCTTCATCGATAAACATTAAAAAACTTAAATGTTAGAGAGGTGCACAAATATTTGTTGATGATATAGTTTCTCTCGGTGTTTGTTAATTGCTTTCCTTGTTTTCAGGTGCCAAGAAAAAGCAGCTAATTGTTGATAAGGCGGATGATGATATAGCTGTTGAGGGCTATGATCAACTCGATGATTATGATTTTATGTGAGTGTTTTGATGTAGCGAGTTTTTATCAAAAGGCAGTAAAGGAACACGTATTTTCAACATTGAAGTAGGGAGAAAGATTCTGCGGGCACCCCCTCAACAGAGATTGATTGGTACGAGTGTTATGTATTTTGTCGAATAAGAGTTTCAGATATCGTTTTTTTTTCCTCATATGATGGTCAATTTTGTCGGTTACGGATGCTACATGCTCTGCATTTTGCTGCGCATACTTGAGCTCATGGGAGTCATTGGCTTGTCAAATTTATGGCTACGGTTGCAAAAGATTTGCCCTTTATTCATCTTGTTCTCCCATTTGTTTCATTCACTTCTCTATATAAAATGCTGGATTTTTATTTCTCGTGTAAAATTCCAAATTCAATGACCCCTCCTCCTGCAATTGGGTCGTTATAGTTACGGGTTGGATGCCATTTTGAAACCCTACTTCATCCCCAGCACCCAAACAATGCCCATTTACACCATGAGCTGCTGCTTACTAGACAAGGGAAACATTGCCCTTTCAAGTTCAGATGGCGATCCATCATAATATCTTGCCCACCTGAGACAGTTGTTTGTCGCCGTGATCTACTGAGCTAGCTATCATGCATTTATGGTGAGTCTGTTATAGAGAAAGACTTATACGACACGAGTATTAGACCTGTCAATGGATCAGATTTTGAACTGGATCCAATCCGAATCAAATGAAATTAAAAGGACATGGATCGATACTTATTTTTATTATCTGAATTAGTTTGAATCTGATTTTAAATGGATGTGGATATGGGTTAAGGTTGATACGATTCGATCCAACCTGTTAACATGTCTAATGAGTACACTTCCAAGGTGGTGTTAGGTGCCAATAAAATAAAGACGTGGAAGTTTTTTTGGCCAAATTTCATTGTTTCATTAGCGCAGAACATCATGTGGCGATGTGTACTTGTTCCCTAAAAGTTGTTCTCCGTCAGAAGGTCGGCCTTGCGTGATTATGCTAAAGCTACACCTGTCTTGCTTGCCTTCCCATTGGGTATCTGAGTTGTAGCATGTCATTCCAGCACATAGGAATGCGTATTCCTGCTATCGATTGATCTCCCAAAAGAGGGGTTTCTTTCTTATGTTACTATCGTCGTTGTGGAAAGAGAGGAATAATCCCTCTTATGACAAAGAGGGGAATAATCTCTTATGGCTTGGGGATTACGGTGAAACGAGCCTTGCTCTCCTGCGCATTATTCCACATAAAAAAACAAAAAACGACAGTTCCGTTCACCCGTGAAATGCGCGGGAGAGAATTTCTGAAAATTTCCTCTTAAGTAAGTATTCCGTCTTATCATCCATGAAACTTATGTCAAAGATTCCAAGATTCTGTCCGACTGCTACTCTCATTGATGTGTTAGAAAAAGCGGTCTCAATCTCATGCCGTAGAGGGTGGTTTAGAAAAAGTGCTCATGCCGTAGAGGGTGGTTTAGAAAAAGTGCTCATGTCGTAGAGGATGGTTTAGAAAAAGTGAGGCTCTCTAGTGTATATAGCTAGCACTACTCTGGATGGTTCATTGCTCGTACACATCACCTACTTCATACACTAAAACTTCATGGAGAGAAGCATGAGAGTTGTTTTACTACTAATCAGGGTTCTTGCTATTGCAACCATTACTTTCAGTATTGGTTTATGCAATGGAATACCCGGTTGGCCTCCGCTTTGCAAAGAAAGCGAAAGACAAGCACTTCTGATGTTCAAGCAAGATCTCGAGGACCCTGCCAATCGACTTTCTTCGTGGGTTGCAGAAGAAGGTTCAGACTGTTGCAGTTGGACAGGAGTTGTCTGTGATCACATAACCGGCCACATTCACGAGCTGCACCTTAATAGTTCCGACTCTGATTGGGATTTCAACCGTTCCTTCGGTGGTAAGATAAATTCTTCTTTGCTCGGTTTAAAGCATCTCAACTACTTGGACTTGAGTAACAATTATTTCAGTACAACACAAATTCCTAGTTTCTTTGGTTCTATGACAAGTTTAACACACCTTAATCTTGGAGACTCATCGTTTGATGGAGTAATTCCTCATCAACTAGGAAATCTGTCCAGTCTACGCTATCTCAATCTCAGTAGTTACATTCTGAAGGTTGAGAACCTTCAGTGGATTTCTGGTCTTTCTCTGCTAAAACAGTTGGACTTGAGTTTTGTAAATCTTAGCAAAGCATCTGACTGGTTGCAAGTTACAAACATGCTTCCTTGTTTGGTACAGTTAATTATGTCCGATTGTGTACTTCATCATCCTCCCCCTCTACCCACCATAAATTTTACTTCCCTGGTCGTCCTTGACCTTTCTTACAACAGTTTTAATTCTTTGATGCCGAGATGGGTTTTCAATATTAAAAATCTAGTTTCTCTTCGTCTCACTGGTTGTGATTTCCAAGGTCCAATTCCTGGTATTTCACAGAATATCACATCTTTGAGGGAAATTGATTTGTCATTCAATTCTATTAATCTTGATCCGGATCCCAAATGGTTGTTTAACCAAAAAATCCTTGAATTGAATCTAGAAGCCAATCAACTTTCAGGCCAACTTCCAAGCAGTATTCAAAATATGACTTGTCTTAAAGTTCTTAATCTCAGGGAGAACGACTTCAATTCTACCATATCTGAATGGTTGTATAGCTTGAACAATCTCGAGTCCTTACTTCTTTCTCACAATGCCTTACGTGGTGAAATATCGAGTTCCATTGGAAACCTTAAAAGTTTAAGGCACTTTGATCTTTCAAGTAATTCAATATCAGGTTCCATTCCAATGTCCCTAGGAAACCTGTCAAGCTTAGTAGAACTAGACATATCTGGTAATCAGTTTAAAGGAACTTTCATAGAAGTTATTGGGAAACTCAAATTGCTAGCATATCTGGATATATCTTATAATTCGTTTGAGGGTATGGTGTCGGAAGTTTCTTTTAGTAACCTTACAAAATTGAAGCATTTCATTGCAAAAGGAAACTCATTTACTCTGAACACCAGTCGAGATTGGCTTCATCCTTTTCAACTTGAAAGTTTACGATTGGATTCATGGCATCTGGGACCTGAATGGCCAATGTGGCTTCGGACACAAACACAGTTAACGGATCTAAGCTTATCTGGTACAGGAATTTCAAGTACTATTCCAACTTGGTTTTGGAACTTAACATTCCAATTAGGTTATCTAAATCTCTCTCACAATCAATTGTACGGGGAGATTCAAAATATAGTTGTTGCTCCTTATTCAGTAGTTGATCTTGGTTCTAACCAATTCACTGGTGCATTGCCTATTGTTCCCACCTCATTAGCTTGGCTAGATCTTTCCAATTCATCATTTTCTGGATCCGTTTTCCACTTCTTCTGTGATAGGCCGGAAGAAGCAAAGCAACTTTCTATTCTTCATCTCGGGAACAATCTTCTCACTGGAAAAGTACCCGACTGTTGGAGGAGTTGGCAATACTTGGCAGCCCTAAATTTAGAAAACAATCTTCTCACTGGAAATGTCCCAATGTCTATGAGATACTTGCAACAGTTGGAATCGCTGCACTTGCGCAATAATCACCTGTACGGAGAATTGCCACATTCCCTACAAAACTGTTCCTCGTTGTCAGTTGTTGACCTTGGTGGAAATGGGTTTGTCGGAAGCATACCAATATGGATGGGGAAAAGCCTTTCAAGGTTGAACGTTCTTAACCTTCGTTCGAATGAGTTTGAAGGAGACATTCCTTCTGAAATTTGTCATTTGAAAAATCTCCAGATATTGGACCTTGCACGTAATAAACTCTCTGGAACGATACCGAGATGCTTCCACAATTTGAGCGCCATGGCTACTTTGTCAGAATCATTTTCGTCAATCACGTTTATGATTAGTACTTCTGTTGAGGCTTCTGTAGTGGTAACGAAAGGGATAGAAGTGGAATATACCGAGATTCTGGGATTCGTAAAAGGCATGGATCTTTCATGCAACTTTATGTATGGAGAGATCCCTGAAGAACTTACCGACCTCCTCGCATTGCAGTCACTCAATTTATCGCATAACCGCTTCACCGGAAGAGTTCCTTCAAAGATTGGTAATATGGCAATGTTAGAATCTCTCGATTTTTCCATGAACCAACTTGACGGTGAAATTCCTCCAAGCATGACGAATTTGACATTTCTGAGTCACTTAAACTTGTCCTACAACAATTTGACGGGACGAATTCCGAAAAGCACTCAGCTGCAGAGCCTTGATCAGTCTAGCTTCGTCGGCAACGAACTATGCGGAGCTCCACTCAACAAGAATTGCAGCGCAAATGGGGTGATACCGCCACCAACAGTTGAGCAAGACGGAGGAGGAGGATACCGTTTACTCGAAGACGAGTGGTTCTACGTGAATTTGGCAGTTGGATTCTTCACGGGGTTTTGGATTGTGCTTGGTTCTTTGCTGGTAAACATGCCATGGAGCATTCTTCTTTCACAGTTGCAGAATAGGATGGTGCTTAAAATGTATCATGTAATTGTTAAATATGTTTAGGTCTATATGACGAATATGCCAGTATGGTTGTGTTGTATGATTTTGTCAAATTTCATCCTCTTGTTTCATTGTATTTTTCTTCTTTTCTTGGCATTATGAGGGGTAAGGTTTATGTCCTCCCTGACTAGGTGTAACTTTTTTTTTCGTTATCAATAAAATATCCCTCGTATCATCAAGGTTTTCTTAAAAAAAAAATAAAAATTATCCCATATAAAATTAAAAGACTTGTTTTCTGAACAAGTAACTTTTCATTCAGCAGAAGTAAATTGAATGACAGTAACTCGTATCCTCGATCTTTCTTTTGTTCTCTCTCCTCTCTCCCCTTCTCCTTCGCAGCACTACTACTCTCTCGTCTTCGTACTAATTCACGTAACACCTCTCTCTCTTCTTCGTACTAATACAAGAAGAAGGGTGGCTCAAGGTCAATTTTGATGGAGGTTTCCAAGATGTTAAGGAGCATTTGGTATGCTCCTAAGACAATGCAATGGGGGTTCTCTTGCTGCTGCAACAGGCGCTGTCACACGAGTTGCTTCCCGAACTCGTAGCTTTGGCTGCTAGGAGGGGGCAACCCCAGCTTCTTCGCGAGGGTACTTCTTGGTGCAGATTAAGAGTTCCCAGATATCGTTCCATGACAATTTTAAACACTCGATTAAATTGCTTCCATGGCAGTCATCTCGGCTAGAAAGGTTTCTCTTTTAAAATGTAAGACTTCTCAGCTGTCGAAGAAGAAGTTCTACAATGAAATTGATTCAACATCTACTACTAGAAAGAAGCTGAGGTTCGATTTACATGGCGAGTCAACAACTGGCTTCATCTGCACAGTATACACCAAAAACTGAACCCTTGCGAGACAGCTCCATTTCAAGAAGAATTCAGCTCTTGCCGAAAAACCATATGCACAAAAAGAATCCATCGATTTCAGATGGTGGTGAACTTACACTCTGGTCGGTCATCAGCTTCAATTCGATCTTGTTGGCAAAGTGCATACTCTGGTCGGTCATCAGCTTCAACTTTCGGTCAGGAGTTGCAAAATTAAGGTAAAGTCCTAACCTGCGAGATTCAATCAAATCTAGTTAACAAAAGAAAATGACCATTAAATTCAATTGCCGCCCCAAGAGTGCAAATTTCACTTAAGAACGAGCCACAATGTTTTACACAAACAGAATGAAAAGCTTTTTACACACGTTTAAGTGGTCACACAACTGATAACTACCGATAATCAAAATAGATACGATGGTAGATACTACCCTTTCTGGAAAGAAAAACAAAATTCCGATCAGTTTTACCAAACTGAACAGAAAAAAATTAATAAATGCTACCCCTTGGATAAGTAACCAAATTCTAGTTGTCTTTACTGAAATGGAACAGAGAAAAGCAATCGAGACTCAATTCAAGGCTTTAGGAAAGGTAGTTTGTAGGCAGTTTTGGGGATCAGTTAGATGGAGCGTAACAGAACTTTGAGAACTAAAATGGGGTTGGGATGGATTTACTTTGGACAGTCAGATTCTCGTTAGTTCGTTGAGGCTCCAGTTACGAATACAATGTCATCAATTATGTTGGACTGGGTTGCTGTGCTGAAGTGACTTGTGTTAGTTCATTTCAATTCTGATTGATATGTTCTTTCTTGTAAGTTGAATGTGGAGTTATTCCTGTGCTTCTGATTTGAATCGAAAATTTAGGATCTAAGAAAGTACCTGATTATGAAAGCAAAGTAGGAAGTCAATCTGCTTAAAGATGGACTAACTCCACGGTTGTGACAAAGAAACATTTGGAGTGGATGCGTTTAGTCCTTGTTTGTAATGTATAGCAGCTTTCAGCACATTGTAATGTTCAGTAACGATACCGTACAGAGCTTGTGTGTATACCTCCCTCGCCTGCAACATAGAACAGCCAGAATACTTAGAAACAAGATAAAAGAAAAACAATGAAGTTAAAAAAAAAAAAAACATTTAGAGTAGATGTCAATTTTGCACCCTGAACTTTGACTGATGTGGCACTTTGGTCCCTCAACTTCAAAACGTTTGGTCCCCATAGTATGTGTCTCAGTTAAGCCCGTTTCGAAAGTTTTGAAGTCCAGCAACCAGAGTCAACAAAACTCAAAATTCAGGGGATAAGGGTGAAATTTACTCTTAACAATTAGAAATCAATGGAAATGACTTTCCCAGTCCTTGAACATTAGCTTTCAAAACTTTTTCTCGTATGAATGAACATTATATATCTATATAGTATACCCCTACACTAAACTACTTTTGCATACAGTTTCACATAATTGTTGACCAAGGAAAAGACTGTATTAGTTAAATGCCAATGTTCATACAATAGGCGGACCTAGTTCTTCCACATGATTCAGCAGTTTATCAAACGGTATCATGACATGATTTAAAATGCAATGCTAAGTCTCAGATCCAGAACATAATTACACATGAGCTTTCATTGCAGAATAATGTAAAGATCCGAAAGAATACAACAGGAGCCGTCCAAATCAATCAGGAAGTTGAAAGACATTGTTTAGAGAACCAACCTCTTCAGAATTTTGACAGGAAGCAGTAATATCAGAGAAGGTGATTTCTGGTGCAACCGATAATCCAGTACCATGGAAGGAGATCATTCTCCTTTCTCCAATTTCTTTTTCTACCTGGAAAACAATTGTGTCACTAATGCGGAAAAGTAGCACTACAGTAACCACCAAAACAGAGCTGACGAACCTGGGGTGGAGGGGGCATGATGTTGTGACACAACAATGCTAAGGGATATATATGCCCTGGCGCAGCAGAATGTTCACCAAGCCTTCTTAGATTGTCCAGTGAAGCAGCATCAAAAGGTGCCTGACCAACTTATATCAGTATGAAGTTTGAATCATGAAGACAACACTTACACTTATGTCTACGTGTTCGCATGTATGTTAGACTTGTTAGTATGAAGTCATTGCACCACCAACTCGAAATCAAGATAGGTGGATGCTTATCTATATTGGTAAATTCTTGGTTATAGTGGAACACTATGTCAACGTGATCTCAAATTGTAGCCAATCTTCGTTTTATGGAAGCCCAACTCCTCAATTAGAATACAACCAAGTTGAGGTCAAATTTAGTAAATGCTTAAAACAGTAATTTATTTCAACAGACACAAAATGGAATATATTTAGAAATCATCCTCAATCTATTTATGATTTCCTCTAGAGCTATTGAGTCCCTATTCTATCCATGATGAATTTAGAACTCCTTTGATTTTACACCTACGCTGTCAGGTTTGCTTGACCTAAATTCACAAGTACAACTAGAACATATAGATGCAACTTTAAGACCCCTTATGTGGCAACCCTAGAGAGACAATTGCAAGATAAAAATCATCATCAGAACATTGAATCTCCTATACAGATCAAAACATTTAACAAAAAGAAAGCTCGAAAAATAAAAAATATTAAACATCGACAATGAAAATACATGATTTCCTTCTCAATCTTCTCATACATGATGAAGTTGAAAGAGCTTACTGGGTACCATTCTCCTGTTGCAGGATCTGGCCGGTCCCTGCCACCACTAGGTGCAATCCATACAATCTGTGACCCGCCCCTATAAAAACATGTTAAATTAGAAGGCTGTATTAAGAAAACAGAGGTAAACAAATTCACCACATTAAAAGAGTAAGTTTTTTAAGAAAAGAAAATTGTTAAATTTTAATGCCCTTCTTGATCTAGCTTTTCGATGGATTATGATGTTATGCAAACAGCTTGGATGATGATATGTGAGTAAACGGAAACAATAAACTAAACACCGCCTCACATAATCACAAGAAAAATTGTTATCGAGATGGCTAACTTTTCCTACGTCCCTGTGTGATCTGTCTTGAGAGAATCACTTGCACTATCAAGAAGAATAATTTATTACAAAAAATTTCGGAAATTCCTATGCTAATCCCCAAGCCCTAGCTTTCGTTCTCTCTATCACTCTCTTTAGTTCTCTACCCCTTGTGTGCTCGCTATATTTTAAGAACTCTTATCAAGACTATTTACAGATAATAGGTTGTGGGTTAGAAGAAACCTAATCTGAAATCACTTAGGATAGAGAAGAAAAACTGATTTTCTCATTCTAGTAGGAATCTAGCATGCACTGATTTTCTAATTCTAGTAGGAATCTAGCATGTGTCCTAGAAAAAAAATACAAGAACAAATAGAGATAAAGAAACTCAACTTGACCTTTTTTTCTTAAAGAGACACAAATTTTATTGCAGAAAACTACATAAAGAGTGGACAGTCCACTAATATTGTGATTAAATGCATATTATTCCTTTACCAGTAATTGAAATTAGAGAGATCATCCCCCACCCTGATTAGCAAACCTACCACCAGCGAAGACCTAAAGGTAAGCATTTGTTACAATGTTGAACCTTCAGGCCTAATTTGGTCTCGAGGACTAGTTTGGATTGGAAAACTCGCTAGGTTCATGAATGTTGAATAAAGAAATAGGTGACGACTTGCATATTGTACAAGTTGAAAGGTACAAGATGGATTTGTAAAGAAGTAAACTTATCCCTTCAAATCCCCACATAAAGGGTAGAATTGGGAATGAGAAGTTTCATTCATAACTAATGCGACTTCTACCTTCAATTTCGACAAGCTTTACAAGTTGGCATCCATTTCTTCCTTCAACATACATGGAATCTAGTGAGATTTCCAATCCTAGGCACAAACGAGCCCTTGCTCTCTCAGTCTAGCACCTAAAACGAATTGTTTTTCAGTTTTAACAGTATCCTCGACTCAAAGTATGACAAGTACTCCATTTTGAGTTGACATACTAGTATAAAAATCCGAGTAGGTGTTGATTAAGTACTAGAAGGATGAATGAAATAAGAAAAAGAGGAGCACTTCCTTGAGTTGCTACGCATTTTTTATGCAACAAGTAAAATCAAATTTCCATGTCCATTAGCACAAGAAAGATGAATGGAGAAAAAAGGGTGAGTGCTTCCTTGACTTGTTAACTTGATATGCATTTTTGTACGCTAACAAGGAAAATCAGCTTAGCTCCTTTATCACCAGTTTGTTCCTAGCTATCACAACAAGAAGATTCACTTCAAACAAATTGGTTAGTTCTGAGATGTGTAGTGCTTAATAGGGTTCAATGAGACAAGAAATGAGCAAGATGTAAGAGCAAATACAACAACACCAACAAAGCCTTATCCCACTAATAGTGGTCGGCTGTAAGAATCCTAGAACACCATTGTGCTCGGTTTTGCACCAAATCTTCCAAAAGGTAAGAGCAAATAAAACAGAGAAAATATATGAAAGAGGGAGAAATAAGGATTGTCCAAGAACACAAAAACAATGCAAAAAATAAAAAGGAAAAAAATCTTTCTGCACAGGACCTGACATGGTAGTAACACCGTCGGACCTTGATAAGCAGAAATAAGAAGAGCCGCCAATAAAATCAAACCAACTTTGACAACGCATAGACAAACAAAATAATTGAGGTACCTCAATAGCACTGCCATTTCCTTCAAACTCCGTGTGTTTGCTTTTCTTTTCATATCAACAAGCTCAGGAACATCATTCATGTGCTTTTTGGAGTATACACATATCAGATTCCTGTAAGAATATTAAAACAACAAATGATGAGAATTTCATCATTTAACTAATCAAAGCACAGAGGTGCATACTAATTGCATAACATTATCCCACAATTCACAAGTACCTCCCCATGCTGAAAGGCTTACAAAGAGGATCTGTCAAAACCCTATCTCCTGCTATGTAGGTCTGCAGTACAAAACTACAAAGTCTAAAATTTGGTTATGCAAATAGGTGTAAGTGCACAAAATAGCGTATGCATCCAATGTACACTTAGAATGAAGACAGAACATTGCAATTCACCATTTTCTCAGCGAGATGTGGGTTTGTTGATTCAAGCAACAAGGCAATGACAGCTGGATCTGCTTCAGTTTGGTGGTTTGATATCAAAAAGATGTTGTGACCCTGCATGCATAATCCAATTGCATTACATCACGAGTCACGTCCATGTGTAAACTAATCAAGATGATATGGCATCTGCATAGTGCATACCACAGTACCAATAAAATCATACCACGAAAAGAATTGAGACAACTACTGGTCAACTATAAATGTGATATACAGCACCAATACAAAGTTATTGCACTGTATTGCATTCTACTGAAAAACAGTTACTATTTTGATAGCCCATGCAAGAAACTGACTGGTAGGAACCCTTCAGACCATCACTCCTTATCAGTTCTCTGACATTGTTTTCTAAAGTACTTAAACATATATATGTCCAAACCTAAACTTGAACTGCCAAACATGCAAATACATCACCTTTATATCGGAGGCCACTATATAACTTTGTAAGTTGTAACAACAAAACAAGGAGGAAGTTTAGTCTAACTTTGCTTCTAGAAAGTAAGTGTTTCACAATTCAGCTATGTATAGTTGTTAACCCCACAAAGAAAATAAGCTGAATACTGAGAATACGCACCTGCTGAAGCTTCTCTTCAATTTCATAGAAAATGGAATGGTTGCCAACATATGAGTTTCTGCACAAATAAGCATCAGAATTTAGGATTAGAACTCATATTCACGTGAATATAAGAAAGTAAGAACTAGCACACATGAAAGAAAATGTGATTTGCCAGCATTTTTTTTGTTTCTTCGTGTGAGTATTCTCTGTTAACAAGTTTTTGAAAAATCTTTTTTCTAATAATTGGACACACATGGTAACACTGCATTACTCTAGTCCATAATAATACTGTAGTGTAGATTTATTTCAAAATTCAGTCAAGAATTCAGGAAAAAAACTACAAAACGAATGGTTATAAATTCCATTTTATATTTACTTCATTAAACAAGTCAGAAAAGGGCAAAGAAATGAAGACGCATCTAAATTAAATTGATCTTTACATTTTTGTATCGATGATTAAAAATCAGAATATTTAAAATTCCCAAGACAACTATTCTATAAAAGAAATTCTCTTATAAATCAAAATAAATGATTTTAATCTCATGCTGAATGATCCAATGAAAGCATGTCAGATGGACAAATCACCCATGACCCTGTCAGTTTTAAGGCTCCAATGAACTTCATGAAATAATGCATAGTACATACATTCATTTTTAGGAAAACTAATGAAAAGGGCTTGAAAACTGAGTTTTAACGATAAGGACAAAATAAAGGGTAAAGTGAATAGTAGCAGGTTTGACTTTTTAATGTAAAAATGTGGTTTTTCGTTAAAGTGAACAGTACCTTGGGCTTTTTGTTAAAACTCCCTTCATTTTTAGCAAAAATAGACAACAAGAATAAATGCATCATCTTTCAGTTTATATACATCAAAGTAGCTGATGAAGATGGTAAAAAGGATAGAAGTTGTCAAGATACCTGAAATCAACTAAAGGACGAATATAGTTTTGACCAAACATGTAGTAATCAAAAGGCTCTCGCATTGCCTTGTGATATGGTGAGAAGATAAATGGATCCTGAAAAATTATTGATCTATCACATAGACAAAAAAATAAAAAAAATAAAACAAGTATACAAGAAAACAAACAATAATTTGGTTTCCTAGTGTTACACACATCAGCAACTAAGGCAACTGTATGATAACGCATATAAAACCCAGTATTACCTCTATATCCAAGAATACACGATCCAACACAGCAGTCATATTTGACAACACAATCTCATCTGCCTTGGGATTTCCGCTTTGAAGAATCTGAATAATGATAGCATAGGATTATGAAAAAAAGAAAACGAGTTTCTTATCACTTAGATTTAATTACTTCCAGGACATCTAACGCATACAAGCCATCCATATACGATCTAATAATTGAACAAGAAGTCCTCAAACCTCTATACGGAATATCAAATCCAGATATTAAAAAACACTAAAAAATCAAAGCCGATTGGCATGTACTTGAATCTAATAATTAAAGCAGGCTGTGATCTCACTCTCCTGAAGCTACCCATATAATTACAGCCACACGTTACTGACAGATTATTGACATTTAAGGAACACATTATTTCATGTCCGCTAATTAAGGAAAAAAAGGCTAAACTTGGCATCTACGTGTATATATATATATATATAGACCCACACACACACATACACATACACACACACACACACACACACACACACACTAGTATATAGAGATATATATATATATATATATATATATATATGTATGTATATATAAAGTCCACTTTAGTCAAGAAGAATCCATACACAATGAGTTAACCAGTGAAGCATAACAAAGATAAGCTTCAAACTTAAGAAAGTTTACATTGATTATTATGGAAGCTTGTAATAAAATAACCATGAAACAAGTTCTAGATCCATACACAATGGCCACATTGTGGCTATTTGATCGTGTAAGCACAACATGTAAATGGTTCGGATTTCTGATAAAAAATGTCACATTTTCTTTTTGACCTTAAACAACTAAGGCACATTAATCGCGTGCTAGCTTGTGATTGACTTTTTGTTATTCTTTTAGTTACTCACAATTTGTAAGTACCATGGTCACATTAAGTAGTCGTAACTAAAGATTCGATCCTACTCAATTGGTATCAATATTTCTAGTAAAAATGTAGGCCTTGAACCACAAAATATCTATCTCAAAGAATTCTAATTCCTACTCATCAGCAAAGCCAAGCATAGGATATATGTAATTAACAATATATTTAGCAAGTTGAAAGATATTCCTAGTTCATAAGGAAAAGGAAGTTTAAAATTGTATGAATTTATGAAATTTTATTGCCAGTTTTGTCGTCTCTAAATAATATGGCTACAGCAGTATATACTAAAATCTCTTCTATTTTGAGAAGAAAATACTAAAGCTTCTTCGTTTGGCAATTTTGAATGCCAAAACCGTTGAAATAAATTAAATTTACAGATGCACGCATCTGTACACAAATTGCTTTTAGATGAGACTCGAACCAAAACGTTTACAGATATAAAGTAAATTCAAAATAAAATATCAGAAGCAGATCTAACTATGTACAGTAAAATACAAGATTAAGAATTTTACAGCATTTTTATAATTCTGATATAATTCTTCCATTCCTGAAGCAACAGTTGAGGGAAGCCTGCCAGCTTCTGTTTCCTTCCTTATTGCAGACAGCAGCTCTACAGATGAACATTTCAAACAAGTCAAGAAAACTAGCATCAATAAACAGGAGAACATTAATAAAGTAAAGAAAAGCTGCTTAGAAAGGAGATTTTTTTTTTTTTTTTTTCATTAAGAAAGCTGCAGTTAATGACAAACTAGCTCTAGGTCTAGTGGCAATTTCTTTCCAGTGTTGACAAAGATTTTCAAGTTTATGTTCAATGGAAACATAAAACAATATAGATGAATTATTTAACTACAATACAAGGATACAAGAAAAACAAAAATATAACCTTCAAGGAACCTGAATAAGAAGACACAGAACATTTGAATTACATATCAGAGCATGCAATCAATGACATCGGAGGTTATGCTTACAAAACGGTTAGTAAAAATAATGAGAGGAGTGGAAGAAAGAAAAAGAGAGAAAATGAGTCAGTTGGGACCATAGTCCCAGTGATACTGCACTGTAAATTTGAGGACATTCTTAGGCTATTAGGAGTTAGACTGTATCCTGATGGTCGCACTAATAGGAAGGACTCAAAGACTATCCAACCACAGGGTTCAGATGTCCAACAAGCCAATCAAATAGCTATGAATTTGAACAAGATTTGAAGCTTGCATATACTACAAACCTCTGCTCCAAATATTTGAAGCAAGAAGCCCAACTTTTGGCGACCATAATTATAAGGGTTATTATGAGCAATGGTCCCTGAACTTGTCCATAGTTACAATTTAGTCCTCCAACCCTTTTTTAGTTCATGTGGTCCTTCAACTTGACCACCTCTTGCAACACTGGTCCTATCCGTCACCATGTACCATATTCTGTCTATTTAATCTATGTTTTGTCAAATAGTATCTGTCTTTCCTTTTGTTTGTTGTTTCTCTTTTGGTTTGCATGGTGGGGAATAAATATAGGAATTTTACGATGGGTGTGAACAACAATAAGGTAGGGCCACTAGACAGGTCTTTCAGTGAAAATCCATCCTAAACCAAGCAAAAAGTGCTCTTAATGTAGCTTATCAAATGTTAATAATGCATACCCTGCAAAAATTGTACCTACATGAAACGCAATCCCATGATGAGAAAGCCAACCATATGATGCATCCATGTTCAGTTTCAAGTCCTTTTTGCACGATTCTTGAATCATTCGAAATTTATATTGTTACTGAACCCATTTCGTTATGGTAGCATGGATTGATGGGTATCCACCTACCATGGACTTGGAACGGATGAAGCTGTTGAGTAAGTAGATCTTATCATGATAACTAGTCTAAAAAAAATCTGGCTTCCACAGGCACATACTTGAAACAATGGATTTGACGCGTACAATCTATAAAAAAGATACAGAAAGGGTGAATAACACAAAAACAAGGAGCAATAACCATTGAACAACTTCGACGTGTTGACAACTCATACCTAATGAAACCAATACTTTTTAATAAATTTGTATAAGGAAATAAGGTATTCAAAGTATGATGTACTTTTAGGTTCATAATCAGAGTCTATTGACTTGTCATAACTTTCACTGTTCTTCATTTGTTCTCTGTTTTGTTTGTTCTTTGAATACACTAGGTAGGTTGCTTTTCGAAAATGGACAATTTTGTTAATGATTTTTTACTCATTTCAAAATACAGCGGTTTTCCTTAAAACATAATATCTTTAGAGAAGGCTTAAAAACATAATTCAAAATATACTTTATATGCGTATACATTTGGGGAAAGAATTACTCAGAAGTTATAACCTTAAAGTAACAACTATATCCCATAAAATACCTTCCATCCTTGTCCTTATTCTCTATCTTGTCCGATCTTGTGATCATTTTGGTTTACAGCACCATACATAACTACAACCACTAATATATACAGATACAAGTCTCATAACCAACCCCTGGCTACAGTGTCATGCCCTAGTACATAGTGCTACAATTACAGACTGTACATCCTTATGAAAGAATACATGCCCAACAAGAATCGGTTTCCTTTACATAAATAGGAACTTCAACCTGAACTTTTTTGTCAACATTTCCTTCAAATTGAAAACAAGTTATCATGACATTCCACTCATTTAACGATAGGATTGGTTTCAAAGAAATCAATGGATATTTGAAAATACTAGGGGGCTTCTGTATCGACCATTTCACTAGATTGGAAGGCTGCAGTGTCAATCAAATTTGAAACTTTCATCACTTCCAAGTTTAGAGAAGAAAATTCTTTTGACAAATAACTGAAATACTCCTCTCTTTCTAGCAAATTTAAAAGGAAAATCAAGAAAGGCAACATTTCAACTCCAAGAAAAAAAAAAAAGTATGAGCATTCACTTTCTTGCATTTTCTGAGGAGCCAAACAGACAAAATGCGAAGAGCTCTCACCATAGAAATTTAAGTCGGCCACGAAAATAAAATTGAGGACCAATTTCAATTCAAGAAAGGCAAAATTTCAATTCAAGAAAAAAACTATTAGCTTTCTTGCATTTTCTGAGGAACCAAACAGAGAAAATGGCGAAGAGCTCACACCTTGTTCAGTGGTCGCGTTGAGAAAGGTGCGAGAATGGTTAGTCTCCCTCTTCTCTGCACACTGAATGGGCGACAAAGAAGCCGACTCCGTGTCCTTCACCAGCTCCGCCATGGCAGTCACCTTCAAGGTGGAAAACAAGCAAGGACAGGCGGAGCTCCGCCACCTCAAAGAGACCAAGCACAGCCGAGAAGAAGACGACGGTGACGAAGAGTAAGCAGCGGAGGCGGAGGAGGAAAGAGACGACGGCGAAATCCTAGGCGTGAGGAATGCGGTGGATGGCGTTGCAGAGAGAGTAAACATAGTGAGAGAGAGAGAGAGAGAGAGAGAGAGAAGCGGAGGATAGATCGATCGATCTGTGAGTTTTGGTTTTCTGCAGAGTGGGGGAGTGGACGGTGGAGGCAAGGTTATGATCACGTCTTTTCCAACGCCAATAGTGGGAGAATGGTGACGGCGGTTTTGGATTGGGGGGAAGAGAGTGACACCAGCGGAAGCTATCTCGACACGTGGCTTTTCTCGCAGGGTGGATTGAGGGGAGGCAACCCGAAAGTGGCTGTGGTGTCGTTTGCTTGTTGTTACTGTTTTGTAAATTGATTTATTTAACTACTAACCAGTCATATGCCCGCACGTCACTAATTTTCTAACGTTTTGGATTAATATTTTTAATTTTTACTGGTTAGACATTGGACAATTTATAAATTTGGTCTACGCATTACTCATACTAGTCGATCATATTGAAAAAATAATAATAAACATTCAGTTTCAGGAATGAATTTTAGGAAAAAGTAGAATTACGTCGGTTTTCCTGCAACAAAGAGATGAATAGACACATTGTTAGCTAAGGATTATTCGATGTCTGAGTTAAAATTATTGAATCGGTGAGAATCTCATAGCTTAAAGCTTCTTGGTAAATAAACATGTTTATCTCACGATGCTCTTTCGAACAATTATTGTAGTTATAATGAAATTCGGTTCTTTTATAATTCATATCTCGATTAAGATTTATGACATATGGATAAATGTCAAATCACATGTAGATATTAATAGTTACAATAATGCAACCTCAAGTAGCTTAAAGGGATATCTCGTTATATCTCGTTATATCTCGTATATGTCCGACACGTGTAACATAATACCATACCCACCTTAATGAGATATACACCAGTCTTACCAGATAGTTACACAATACCCAATATTAGGCCTCTTTCAGCATGGAGATTAGGAAAAGATGCTTCACACTCCAATCGGCCCATCTAGTTTATTTTATTTCTTTATCTTTGAGAAGCCAAATATTAGTACATTTTTTTCTTGTGAAAACTTATTGCTAAACCGATAAACCTCAAACTTCATGCGTAAAAATGACTTTGCCCATGCAAACTATGAGTTTATTTCCTCCATGATTTTTCAGAGCTTATAATATGTAGCAATTCAACCACTTGCAAATATTATTGGTTGGAAAGAGCAATTTTGAAGAATTGCAGGTGTATAGTAATCTAATCATTTCCAAATACCATTCTTGAAAAATAAATGTATTTTTTATGTTCTACGTGCACTACCAAGTAATTAGCCAAACGTAGTTCGCGCCTTTGAATGTTGGGAAAAGAAAATTTGATTTGTGCTAATGGTTCATTGGTGGTTTTGAAGCCACACTTTTAGTAAGTTTTCCCTCTAAGGATGGCAAAAAAACTCCACGGGATTGGGTATCTGCGAATACCCGACCCTAGTAGGGGGCTTAGAGAGGACAATAAACAATTATGGGGCATATTTGGGGATTGTTTGAAAAGGATTTGGATCCTCTCATGAGCTTAGGAGGCTGAGCCTTCTAAGCAAATCACATGGGCTATTAGATTTTGATCCAACGGTTACAAACAAGAACCTCTCTAAAAGTTATAATAATTGTAGCCGTCGGATTTTGATCCAACAGCCTGTGTAATTTGCTCAGGAGGTTCAACCTCCTAAGCTTAGGAGAGGATCCAAATCTGTTTTAAAAACCCGAGGCAAATATAGAGCAATGATGGTAATTGCCTTCCCTTGACTTGATGCTTGCCCGATTATAACGTATATTAAATTATTAATACAATTCTTATCAATTATGTTTGTAAGTCCTCTTTATTGGTTGTGCAATGTCTCATATCTCTATTAATTAATAAAACCTTCTTTGTCAACCAAAAAATGATGAAAAGACTACTTAGTCTTCAATCACACAAAAAAACTGATGGGCAATAATATAATTTCACAGGTCCAAATTTTACTGTTTTAAATACCTCCAATATTAAAAAAAATGACCAAAAACAAAATCCTCCACTCCCCCCACATTCTCTCTCTTCTTCTCTCCTTCTCATTTTCTAAAAAAATGTGTTCATATACACAAAGTGTGTAGCCAAATACTAGTTTTCTTGTTATTGCAATTGTATGGATTTTTTTTAAAGTTACTTACTTTGTTATTAGCTTTTTGGGTTTACAAATTTATGCTAGTTGATTATTGATTAATTTGTGTTGCATAATCCAAATTTAGAGATAATTTTTCCATGATAGGCGGGTTGGTGGATGTAGGAATCGAGCTGTGTTGGCCGACACCCGGAAGGTGATGAAGTCATAAAGTGTAGTGAGGGTGAAAATGTGAATAAATTTAAACCTAAAAGTGCCTAAATGTAAGAGTGCTCTTGTGAGTGAGAATGAACTCATTTCACATGTGATGTCAGAACTTAAGTACAATAAAATTAGAATAAGAATTATACCATCGGAAGTAGTCTCCGATATCAACGTTTGCCAGAAATCCTCGTCAACACGAACGCTATCACTAGAACCTGGAAGGGCAAAAAATAAGGGTGAGTATGCCTAAAAAGAAAGCTTTGTAAAACCTTTTCGAAAGTATAATAACCGCTCGCTGTAAAACAAGTATAGTTTCCAAAAATAATATATTGCACGTGGTATGAAAATACCTACCATAGCTAGCAATACCTTAAAATGCAATACGTCACAATATCTCATAAATAAAACATAATGTCCAGTAATCCCATAATCTCGCATAACACATATATCATATCGAGTGCTCATTGACATATGCTAACACACGAGTTCATGCAGAGGTATTCTAACATGGACATGATTGGGTGTAATAATGATTTACGCTGTAGTACTATAATCACATGAAGACTGGAGATATGCGAGTCACATACAATGTATCCAAAGTGAGTGTATGATGCGATATAAACATACACATGAAGCCTGGTCCTGGCCCGGACGAGTACAAACACCAGTGTAGCACACGATGAGCAAATAACATAAATATGATCATGCAATGGTAAATCGATAATTCGATAATTCAATAATTCTAATAAGTGAAATACTATTCATGACTGTAAATATAATTAAAGCATCCATACTGTGCATCCCGTAGGACGTAGTATAATTTCATGAATTCCGTCAATACGCTCATTTTTATATATGTTAACCTAATCTAGGTATAACATAGAAAATTCTTTATCAAATATATAAATGAAAACTAAATAAATATATAATATTTAAAAGAAAAGACTCATTCACAAATACTTGCGATGTCACATCCTTTCTAGCTAAGAAAGCTGGAGTCTCCGATAGTAATCTCACATAAGCATAATATTGGAACCCGTTGGTAAAACTTAACTAAAATGACTAAATTCGGGTAAACAGAGTGCAGATTTGGAATCAGAACGTCAAAATACGCTAAGAGAGGTCCCGGGAAAATTTGATAAAAAGTCAACAAGTCACCCCTAAAAAGTCACCAAGCCTCCCCTGCGATCAACTACATAAAATTTTGGAATTTCACTAAACGGATGTCAAAAACAGACTCGGGGCGTCGAAATAGCCTAGAATAGTTTCCGAGAAAATTTTGAATTTTGAAAAAGTCAACACAAGGCAATAATATTCTAGGAATATTACAGAGAAAATTCTAGGAACATTCCAGGTCCATTTTTGAAATGGGCTAGATCATATTAATGGACCAAAGATTTAGGTCGGCCCATGGATCCGGTTTAGGCTTCTCTTATTCATTTTTTTGTACTGGGTCGAGTTGACCCATTTGGCTTGCGGGTTGCCGGACCCAATGATGAAGAAGACCGGAATCACAGGGGAAGTGGCCGGAAAACATCAAATGGCCATAACGAGTTCATTTCTCAACAAAATGAAGCTCAAGAGCTAAGAAACAAAAATATAACTAAATGGGACTGAGTCGTGGTCGGTACTGGTCGAAAATGACCTGCAAAGTGTTGGATGGTTCGTCGGAATCTGGGGAAATACTTTGGTGTTTCTGCGTCCAAACATCACCAAACTGTCTCAAAACAACCTAATCGTAGTCCTAACCACAATCTATGAAGGTTTGGGGTGTTTTTTGAACTTACCTTGTTGAAGATGGTGAAAACTCACTGGAGCAAAATTTGAAACAATGGGGGTACCACTGTGCAGAGAGTGAGAGGTATGGTTGGATTCGTGGATCTAACTTTGATTGATGGAGTGAAGGTGGTGGTGTAGTCGGGTTTGCCGGAGTGGCGAGAGGTGTGAGGGTCTTGGGTTTGCCGAGAAGAAGAGAGAGTCTAAAGTTCTAGAGAGAGAGAAAGCTAAGAGGGTTTTAAAGAGAAAGAAAGCTCATAGAGTTTAGCGGGATAAGTAAGAGAGGTCCAGGAGAGTGAGGGAAGAAGGACACGCGACATGGAGAGAGTAAAGAGTTTGAGATGTGTGGGCCCCACGAGCCAAAAATAAATTATTAAAATATTTAAAAGATCAAATATGAAAATATTAAAATAATAATATAAAAATATAAAATATAAATTAGTAATTTTTACAAAAGAATTTTTCGGATTCGTAGTTCCGTAAAATCTTCGTCGTAATTCTGAATTCTATTCCGCTTGCATCTACATGTTCATACCCTCGAGTACTTTAAGAATATGGTAAAATAATAGCTCATTCGCGTCACGAACTAACAGTCAACGAAAGTCAACAATCTTACCTTAAGGGGCATTTTTGTCAATTCACTCATTTAAAATTAATAAAATTGTAAAATTAGGGATGTGTTGTTACAGTGGCACCCTTTGACCTCGCCTCGCCCTATTGCCATCCCTATTTTCCTCAATTCCTTCTATTAAAAGATCTTGTTTAAAGTAATTTGTTACAAATGTATAAAGTAACTGTAATGGTTTATTTGGCTGTATATGAGTTGTGTTTGTGTTGGCCCGGGTACACAATATTATAAGGTTAGGCATCAAGTTTATTTTGTGTATATTGTGGATTTTGAAACAAAGTATGGTCTTTCATTGTCTTCGTTTGTCACGCCCCGATCTCGAGATACATCCAGGATCGACAGGTGACATCACCATGTCCCTATTCAACTATCATGCCTTGCTTACAAGTCATGACCAAAAACAACCCAACAGTTTAATAACGTAGTAACTTTTTTCTATATTTCTTGGGTGCATCTGACCTCTGTGTTAGACT